TAAAATACTGATTATGTCTGCGGCTGCACGTAAGCATCGGGAGAAGCAATATGTCGAAGAGGAGTATAACTTCGGGCGGTATCCCCCGGCCATGATTTCATTAAAACTTCGTGCGTCTTTACCCAACAGAGATGGCTCCGGAGCCTGTAGCGATTACCAAACTTGTCTCAGACGACGGCCATAAAGATTCCAATAAATGATAATGCATAATCCTTTATGCCCGTGTACGAATATTACTTAAAAACACCTCGGAATTCACACATGTCGCTCTCCAATATCTTGTCACTCTTTCTTCTTTTTTATTACTGAGCGATTCAGCCAAACCGAGTATCGTAGTTCTGTTTATAGACTACGGATAACCTTGCTATAAAATTGGGTTTTTGCGCGCAAAGTCGACTCCGCGTTCATTATTTTTAGCGAGAGCCACCGGATCTTCTTAGAATATCGCGGCCCGTTATCGTGGAAGTCGTGACGGAAGTTATGTTCAAGGTTCGCGGCGTATTTCCAAACTCATTATCCGGGATGGCCGCAGCAGCCAGTAATTTCTTGAAGCCTTTCAGGCACCCACACTTGATAAAACATTTTCCCGCGACGCCTTAGCTCGCGCGCGGTCCCGATCGGTGTTTGGCTTAGCCAGCGTGAAAATAAAGGTCGTGGTTGATTTATGCGGAGGCTGGATGTTTCATAAATTGTGCACGACATGTTTGGTGAAGCATCGCGCTACCGGTGGATTCCTTGTATTTTATAACAATCTTGATTTTTCCACTTAGCTCTTGCAAAGAAATTTTTCTTAAGAACGTACCTTTCCTTGCAAAATCATTCTCGACAACGACTTTCTTAATCGATACTCGCAGTACATCGCGCTGTAGATTAACCTTTCGAGAGTAAGATACAAATACTGCCCAGAATACAATTATGAGCATTCTTATCGTTTTCGTCTTTAAATGCGAATATTTAAATTTTTAACATAAAATATAATTAACTTAAATTATCCTTAGTTGCTCGGATTATTCCAAAGAAATGAAATCAGAGGGAGAGTGGGATATCCAGGTTTTTATGATAATATTTATTTTTATATATTTTCCGTAGGATTCTAGAGTGTAAATATGTAAAATTAAACCCAGAGTTGTTTTATATTAAAAAGGTTTAAAAGTTTATAGGGAACATACATACGAACAGATAGATAGACATTTTATTACATATATATATATATATATATATATATATATATATATATATATATATATATATACTTACATATATATTCTATGAATATTATTCTATACTTATTCCATAATATATCTGAATAAATACTTAAATTTATAATATATTAATATTTATATGAATATTAATGTTTATTAGTATTAGGTCCCGCGTTGGGAGTTCTTATATATTATGATACTTATAATATATTAATATCGTTCTATAACATATTCTGACAAATATTTTAATTTTCAACATAAAATATATATACATATATTTTGTGTCAAAAATTTAAATATTTGTATTTAAAAAGTAAAAAAAAAAAAATAATAAGAATGTCTGAATTTGGATACATTTCTGAGAATTGGTACGTTTGCCTTAGTGCTCTCTTGACGAGAGCGACATAATAAAAGACACTCTGGTTCGTCTTTCGCCGGAAAGTTAATAATTAAGACCGCGCACGTCCCGAATGCGAGGGTGCAAGCGCATGTTCGAACAAAGCTGCGGGTGTTCGCCGGACCCCGTCGAACTCCCCGTTGATCGCAATCGATACAGTCGCGTTGCTTTTTCCGGCGGCGAGCGTGAATGGAGTTTCTATCCGCGTTACACTCGGTCGCTTCATTCACACGTCGCGTTCGATTCGCATTCATCCGCTTCGCGGCTTCTGCAAACAGCGCGCCATCCATTGCTTCTCCTGTGTCCCGCTCTCTCTCTCTCTCTCTCTCTCTCTCTCTCTCTCTCTCTCTCTCTCTCT